TGTTCTAAAAATAATTAGTACCATATTTACTCTATTAGAAGTGCGCAAAAAAGGTGTCTCTGATCATAATGATTCAGAATACAGGGAAAAATGTGATTTTTATTTTGCAAAAACTTTACATGTGTATATAGCAAATACTAGAGTCACACAAAATGCAATCATTGTATACAAGATCATTAAAAATATGACATTTTAACCACAGTACAAGAGTATGTTAAATGCAAATGCTACAATATTGTATTTAAACATGAATGACAGAGGTTACCTTGTCTAAAATAGTTCAAAGGCCTAGCATATAGTAAATACTAAATGCAATTTTAAATTTATGTGTGCTTCTATTGGAAATGTGCTTTTAAAGCAAAATATGGTATAGGTAGCCGTTTCTCTATTTATTTATTATCTTTTTTTGGTCCTTTAAAAATTCATGGAATGTATGTCTTTATACCTGTCACTCTGGTGATGGGGTTTATTACTGGCAACTACTGACAAGATAATGTTACATGCAAGGAGATGGCACCACAATTAAAACTGAAATCTGAGTGCGTAATTGTGATAGTTGTATTCAATTTGGCATGATGTGTAACTAATTATGTCTGATCATTTAAAAACCCATACAACACAAACTCCCATAATGCATCACACCACCTGTGTGTCTATTTTTACTTATACACCCCCTGGCCATCTCTCTCAGTATTAATGTAGAGGGTTATGCATACAAGTTTTTGTACAGATATGACTATTCTGCATCTATTTATATCAACTACCATCATTTACTATTAAAACATAATATTATGAAGAACATATGATAATGTCTGTCATCTGAATGTACATAGCAGCAACACAAGAATTGTGCCATGCTGTCCATTAGATTATTGAGTGTTGCTTTCAGTTTGGTCTTTGTTACATAATTCTATGTTGTATAACATTTAACTGTAATCTTCGACCTTTCACATTTTACCCCTTCCACAAGATAAATCAGCATGAATATTTCAATATTTTTTCAATTTTTTTTTATTAAAACTTCATGCAATTGTATTGGATCGGAAATAGCACATTCATTATAGAAGAAATAAGAAAAAAATTGGGAAAAATACACACCAAACAGTCAAGTGCACTCATGTTTTTTAGCTCCGCTGTCGACTTTGTCGAGCGGAGCTTATCATATGAGTGGATGTCTGTTGTCGTCCGTGTCAATGTTTTACTTTTTCGACTTCTTCTTGAAAACTACAAGCCTGAATGCTTTGATACTTGGTGTATATGTACCTTGGGTAGACCTCTTATAGATTTGTTCATTTCATGATGATATCTTCAATTCTCTAATTTTGGTGAATATTTTTGTCATTTTTGGTGAAAAGTGATATTTTACGAATTCTCGTTGAAAACAGCATATTGTTCATTTTCTAATGATATCTTTAAATATTAATTGCCATGTGCATTGCTAACGGCGGAGCTATTTCAGCCGACAGGCTGCTTGTTTCAAGATTACATCAAACGAAAATTGCTATAACAATGTTTTTCTGTTTGTTTTTTATTTAAAATTGTGATGAAGCCAATAGTATTGTTCAAAATTAACAAAATTCTTACAGTTACATACATAATTTGCAAAGAGGGAAGCACGGGTTGTTAATATATTAGTTATACCGGTATTTATAGAATTAAATAACCCCCAACCCCCCCGGTACATACATGAATGGATTAAAGGGTTTGGTCTGTTGCCGTTAAGTAGGTCATTGCACTGAAAATAGTTTTGCTGCACCATAGACCTTACACGGTATATCATTGTATACTGTTGTTGTTTATGTATATTTATCTATTTCTGTGTGCTTTACAGTTTACATATGACTGACCCACTCACAACCATGCCACGTATTGTGGAATTGTTTCTGCCCAATGTTATTCAAACACAGGGTATCTACTGGAGTCTGATGACCTTGTTGTGACCTCCTACACATATCACCTGATGTTGTAGTTACTGACCATTTAAGGCAAGACAGACTGTGATCGCTATCATCTTTACATTGTGCTGATATTAAACTGGTTTAAACCTGTTTGTGTTGATTTTAAATATTGCTTTTTTATTTTTTATTTTCACTGCTAGCATTTGTTGTAGTAATCCTTGATCTAGGACCCTAGAAAAATTTTCACTGCCCAAATTATTTATTAATTTTGTCTCACCAAATCTATGTTTAGATAAAAAGTTTTCAATTGTCCCCAAGAAAGGAGCAAAACAAAACCTTTGTTTCTTTGGCCTTGTTTACATATTAATTTTGCATGGGTTGTGGGGTGGAGCAACTTCTTTATGTGTGACTGTACACATCACCGAACCCCACACCATGCCACCCCACCCCACCCACGCCACCCCACCCACCCCACGCCACCCCACCCACTCACACTGTAAAACATATACCCTAATCGCATTTGTTGAAGAAATGAACTTCCATAGTCCTGTTACCTGCACATTTATCTTTATGTACACGTGGTGGATTTCCTGTGGTGTATTCCACATGCTTCCCACATTGAGGTCAAGGAACTTCTTTGATTGGCTCACTTCTGAGGGCTCACTTCTCCATTTCAGTTGGGCAGGTGAAGTATCATGAATGTCAATGCTCCGTTTGAGATGAAACATGAAAGCAACAGATCAACTTTACATCATTGACTTAATGAATAGGAGACGAGACAATGATGATGTCTTGCATCACTTGAATGGCGTCATGTTTTAATATGACCAGATTGATAGTCGTTATGTCAGTGTTCTTCTATATATTCCAGTATTGCCAATTTATTTTGGGACCTTTCTTAACATGCTAGGTATGATATCAGACACATGTAGTATCGATCATTCATCCATATAAGGTGTTCTATTTTTCTTCTTCTGCTGGATTTACCAATAGATGCTGCTTTTTCAAATACCACACGCAATAGAAATGTTCACTAGATTTAAATTTTACATATTTGATATTGCATAATCACCGGATTTTTGATTCACTGGTTTGTTTAGGCAACAATACCTTGTGTGATTAAATTTGCGTATTCATGGGGTTATGATGAAATACATCATTTTTTTTTTGGAATAGCTGCTCGCTGAATAAAATCCATGCTACTGTGTCGTGCAGCTGGGTGATTAGTTGCCCAGGTTACCAGTTCGGATCACACATGATTTTTATGTAGCGTTCACTTTTCCATGTAATTCTTGACCTTATTTTGGAAGGTCTTTTTGTAATATTGAGTAGGCTCATTCGGCATTATGCACGTCTCTTTTGTTTTCAATAATTACCTCAACAACTATACATTGTACAAGAGCGCTTCTAAGCTTTCTCCTTCTTAATTTGAATATAAAAAATGTTGTGCCAAGAAGTCTATCTAAAAATAATTGATTAACAGTATATGAAGTAGCCTTAAGCTATATTCACAGTCTCCGTTGACCGCTTTCACATCTCCATTATTTGATATTTAGCAACTTTGAACATTCTCCTGGCATGCCATCATTATCTTGTTATTTTCTAGTGAGTGAGAGATGATTGAATTCATCTAATGGACATCTATGTGCATGTTCTTTAAGTGAACTTCTCAGCAGGCAGTTAGATCTTGCAAATATACTATTTGAATTTATATTTGTTGCCCCTGGAGACAAGCTATTAAGGCGGCCATTTTGTTTTGAAGTTTGTCAAAATTAACGTTAAATTTAACTGTACTGCATGTTTGATGTGCATTCAGTGTGCGTGTGTCTTTACTTTTGTTTAATTGATAATGCATTACAACCCTCAGATGTTAAACATTTCAAACCCTTGATTTTAGTAGAATGAAAATATTTTTGTATGTAGGTGTTTTATTTTAAAACAAGTATTTAAATATTTAAATGAACAAATTGTTATTTTGCTTATCTTTTGATACAGATGTGCGACTACAAAAGTTTGTTTTCAGTAAACTATTAAATTGTCAGATTTCAATCATAGATTAATAATTAACATAAAGCTTGTGTTGCCATGTGTTCACCATGCTACTGTGTTCTGTAGAATCTGCATTTAATTTAGTTAACACAGTAACAGCTACATGCCACCGTACCCCATGTGCAACACATTATTAGTTGGTTTGAATTTCACTAATCAGTGATATTAATAGAATCAAAAGCATCTGAAAATGCATAAATAAAATTAAATTAAAACCTTGTTAAATTTAATACAGTCTGTCCACAGATGTATATCACAGACTGGTAAATGATTATAATCTGCTGATAGTCCTGAGCCTACATAGGTCATTCAGCAAAACATGCAATTACATTGTAGCCTAATAATGGATTTGCCCTGTTACAAGCGCATCTCAAATTAACCAGAAATTTAATGTATACTGAATGAATAAAATATTATAGAAACACATTTCCAATAAACAAGAAATTGAATGTATACTGAATGATTAAAGTAGTATATTTTGTGATTATAGATGTACCTATTTATGTATTACGTATGCAAATATGTATGCGTATGCAAATACGCTATTGTATAATCCTGGTTGTGTTGCTGTTTCTATTTTTAACGACACATCACAATCTGCCCATCCGTATTTAACCAATGATGTATAAAATAAGGTCATACAACTGATGTGATATGTGATAAAGATCTCAATTTGAAGTCGCACAAAACACAAGTCCAAACGAACATTTCTTGAAAATGTAAATGAGCGAGTCTGTGAAGGAACTGATTAGTGTTTGTCTTGTAAAGCATGTACCGGTACTACATGTTTTCTGTTTCTTTTTCAATAGGCCAATTAACTCACTCGCTTCTGTTTACGCAGTCAAGCATAGTCAAGCTTCCTCCTTATTCTGTGGTTGAAAATCTATTGGATATTGTATGATATGTAAATTGTATACTTTTTCATATAAATCCTTGATACGGTATAATGTATGAAATATGTAAATTGTGTCAATGACAGACTGTGTTAGCAACGCCATATTTACTGTGAAACCAAGTATTCATTTTAACTTATCTTTTGTTTCCTGCCAACAGAGAAATATGATTATATTGGTAAACTATTAAAACCAGGAGAGGAGCCATCAGAATACTCCGATGAAGAACATAGTGAAGCAAGTGAAGCTGAGAAGAAGGAAAACTGACCAATCTGTTATAATTAATATTCATTTTGTATCTGGATTATCTTAAGTGTATTATGTTAAATATTTGATTATATGTCTTGTAAAAACACATTTTAATTTTCTTAGTTTTCTCATCAAATCCACTCTGTCGACTTGTTGATCCTGTACAGCGCTTCTTGTACGGATCATGGTTATCACTCGTCAGTACTGTAAAACCATTATATATTGACCGAATTTAAATTTTGCTGTTTTATGTTGATAATGAAATTTGCTAAATTGCATGCGCATGGATTTTTAAAATTATAATAGTGAATAAGATCAATAGTTGAAATAAAGGTCAGAAAAATGAATGGTTTTACAGTACTGTGAACTACATTTTTTTTTTTATATAGCTGGGATTTATTTTGCTGAAAACAGCAAATTGAGTGTTTCCACTTGTTTGACATAAAGTATGTGCCAACCAGTGGGAGAGCGGTATTTTTTGTGGATGGTATCATGAATTTGTTGTTGAATCAGCAAATGTATTTGGTCAGAGGGATGCTACAAAATGCTGTAATTATGTAGAGTTATTCTACGGCTGTTGTAATAAGGAAAGCATATGCGACATATAGGATGGGTTTATTAGGAGATATTCTGGTTCTATGAATTGACATGCATTACTCGCCTGTTGATTCAGGGGATGTGTCACAGTTGCTGGAAATAAGGCCAGGGACTCCTTTGTTAGATGCATGTCCGATAATGAGAACACAATCTTGTACTTTGCGTTTCTGTACATGATGTATTTGTGCAAGGGGATATAATGGTTGCTTTATCCTTGTCTCTTTCAAAAACTTTTCAAGGCTGAACTCTGAAATACTGTAAATTGTATAATTTCGGCTGCTCGGAATTTAATGGTGTCCGTGGAGTCAAATTTTGTGAATCTTTTACCATGGACTCGTGAAATATGAGAACAAATTGTCCCACAAAGTGAATGAGATTTGATAGAAATGAATTAATAGTCTGCTGTTCTTCTGTTTCATTTCTGTCCTGACAACAATGTATGTCTGTGTCCAATCTGATAGCAATATATGTGTGGACAGTTTCAAAAACAGTGCATTTGTTTTCATTCTCACAAGTTACCGATCATGTTCTCTTTCAATTCAACATTTTTCTGCCCCTGAATAAGAATTCATACAGAAAAATTTGTGCTAATATAAGAAAAATGTGGCTGTCTAAGAATACAATTATTGTGTACTTCTCTGACCCCGACTCCCTCAGTACCGTCACCCCCCCAAATCCATTTATGTTGCATTATGGATTGGTCCAGAATGGAATTACTTTCATTGTGGACACCAGCAAGTCTGGTGGGTCATCAGTTTCAAGTCATGGCGAATTAGTAAGCAAGTTTGCTAACTTACTACCCCAATACTTTTCGACTTGCTGTTAAGTGTCAGCACTTCAATAAAGTATTTTGGCCCATGTAGCCATTTCTTTTTAGTTTTCTAAGTTTTATTTAATTTATCAGTATTCCTACAGTTAACTGAGTGCATGTTTTCGAAACAGGGTCTCATACCCGGTGGATAAGTCTGGTCTAAACACTAACTGGGGAATGTTGCATTTACGGGGTAAACAACAGGTACCCTTTCTAGATTAACTGGATTCTAGGTAGTACTGTAAAATCTGTATTAGAAGCCGCATCTCTATTAGAAGTTGTACCCATTCCTTTTGAACAATTGAGAACCAAAAATTCCCCTCTGTTGAATTGTAGAAGTCACGGCTTCTAATACAGATTTTACAGTAGAACACTTTTGAATGCAACTGGTGCAATATTTGTTTTGGGTTATTTTGCAGCATAGAAAATAAAAATACACTTGTTCCACCAGATACCCAGGCACCTCAGTTACAACATCAGGCAAGCATGCCACAGATGCTTCTGTAATTTTCTTATTTACAGTAGGAACTTTAATAACCGCTTGAACCATTGCTATGAGTGTACCAGATTGGTAGTTAGATGTACCTTTTTAGTGTACAATCAAGTATATGTGCAAGGCGTTAGCAAGGACTTCATGTTTCTGAGGTGCTTGAGGAACCCCCCCCCCTGTCATTGTGCGAGCAGTCTCGTACGACATATTGAATGCACGTAATGTACATTTAGTGCACGCTATTCGAATGTATATACTTTTGGGTACAAAGGGGTGATGTAGAATTATGTATCTTTGTTGCATCTTTTAATGATTGTTTAGGTAAAATTGAGTCATCACATTCCTGAAATAAAATGAATTTTCCAGATGCGTTTCCTGTTTTATGTTGTATCAAGGATTTATAACGTAAGGGTATGCTTCTTTCATAACTTCATGTTATCCTCACTTTGCAAGTGCTGAAAGTGATTCCATTCTCTGTGTGTAAATCAAAGATACCATAATAGGTGATTTACCATTCAACTGGCAAAAACTTCAGTGGTAAAAATCGAACAATTTGAACTAAAATTTCTTTATTTCATAGCTCACATCGAAAGGCTGATCTTTAATATGGGAGTATTGAGTTTAGATTCCCTTACTTCATCAAAATTGATGATCATCAAATGTATACATCACACTAAATACTTTTTCAAATCCCACGCGATGTCTTTTGCCACTATGACCTTTGTTTGTCTTTTTTTTACGTGCGATTTCACGAATAACTCAGGATCTCAGAGAACGGAAAATGGTCTATTCTAACCTGGATGTTAAGAAAGTTTGAGAAGAGATGGGTGGATGTATCTCATTCAATGAAAAACGTGCATATTATATTGTATCAGACACAAAAGCAATTTGATATGAACCCCAATCAACCTTCAACACATCAAACACTTGCTTACCCTCATCTTAGAAATCATTGGTACATATTATCTTTTTTGAAGTTTTATCATGTGATAATGTATTTCAGAGTAGAAAATTGTCATGCTTTGTAAATTGAATTATTTTGTAACTACAGAAATAGGATGAGGATATTGCTGTGGTTCATATTTCAAAGTATTTTATCTTATCGCCACTAGGTGGCAGCAATCATATACATATTTCCAGTTAGTTACTGTGAGGGCGCTGTCATGTCAGCTGAGACTTTACTGGTAGATGGACGCGGCTCACTATAAAGCAGAAAAAAAAATGTGGAAATTCTGAAATTTTTGATAATTTGCTGTCAAAAAAATTTAGGTACCTGAACTTGTTTCCATGGAAACGATGATTTTATATAAACCCTACTTTGGCATCTTGTTAGATTTGAGAATGAGCAAAATGTGTATAATTCAGAAATACTTTTTTCCCCTCAGAATTTAATTTTGCAATTTTTTTCAAGAAAATCTGGCCCCAAAAGTGCATTAGTTGCGTCCACCCTTCACCAAAAGAAAATGAGTATACACTGTATACTTGGCACTGTATGTTAAATTTGGTTCAAAGGTTTTCAATAATGATGGTTGGCAACTTTTGTAAAGTCGCCAGCATATGTAGATACAAGTGGAATCTTCAGACAATAGTTATGGTGAATTAAATGAATTAAGTGACATTTTTCAGCAAAATATAACAATTCTTGATTAGTGTATGATTACAGAATATGTGATTGATCAGTTGGTGTCACATGCACCAACTCATTTAAATGTGGAAAGCATGCTCTTGATAGTGATTGGTCAGTCGGTATCACATGCTGCTGTTCATTTAAATATTAATGTGGAAAGCATGCTCTTGGTAGATCTGAAGATAACTTTGGCTTTATACAAGTCATCTGATTGTCGCATGTGGTGGTGGTCTCAGGTTAAAGATTAAATGGGTTAACTTTTCGTTAATTTTTTATATCCACTACAACCTGTAATTTGATAACGAATTTGAATGGTGCCATGCTGTTTTTGTTCACATGCTATGTTCTGTTACTGTACTAGTAAATTTCAAAATGGGCATTGTTTTAAACTTTTTGCATCGAAATGATTAGATTCAGCTCTATTCACAGAAAAGTATGAATTGTAAACATATTAATTACTCATTGGGTTTTAATTTTGCTATTCACTGAATTGAATTCAACCAATTGAAATTAAATAATGCAAATATGTAAAATTAAAATAAACTTGTTGCTTCACTGAAAAATCCATGAATTTTGAATATATAAATAGTGTAATGCGTGACAATAAATGCTCTCACATTCAATAGACATTAAATGCTACCTGTTATTGAAATGAATGGAAGGGTACACTGCACTCACCCCCAGATTTGGATTTGATAACTGTTTTATCTTGCTGGCTATCCAAAAGTAATTATTTAATGTAATATTCACCTTGGTGCAAAAATTGTCAACTGGGATATGTATGTCTTGTTATCAACAATTCTAATTATAGTTAAGATCAAGGTCAGATAAAATCAATGCCCAAGCCAAGCTTTGAAACACTTCACGAAGAGATGCATAAATTAAATTCTTCAAAAGTCTACATTTGTCACCATTCCTTAATTTGTATGTTGCTTTGTTAGTTATCAAGGCTTGTAGCCAGTGGGAAAGAAGGATGACCCTTTGGTTATTACCGTAACAAAAATTATTAAAATTAAAAGTTGTATTCAATTTTGGGCAGAAAATAATGTGCGTTCAAAGAGTTTTAACTGCTTGTGAAGCCAGGTGGTAAGGGAGTTTTCAATTTGAAAACTGGGAGTGGGAGCGTTGATTTTTTGAAGATTGAGAATTTGCTGTGAGTGGAGAAAATAAAAAAGAAAAATTTGCTCAACTAAATAATGTAAATGTAAATTATTTGCATAACAAACTTCTCTAGCCCCCTCAATTTGAAATTGGTTACCCTTGATGCGAGGAAGTTGTTGCAACATGTGTAATATATGCAGGTGAAGAAATGCATGAAAGGATTACATTATTCAGAAATTATTGTTTGTTCGAATATCCATGGTTCATACTTGCCTCAAAAATTGCCTTTATAATTATAAGAGTAAAGTATTTTATTGCAAGTTGCAGAATATCTCATTCATAGCTGCTTTGTACTCGTCAGAAAATCTGACCGTCGTTTTGTTGTATATCTAGAGGAACTGTACAGAGATGTATTAGAATGATAAATAACCTGGTATTTACGGTACATGTGAATCCATTAAGTGAAACTTTGAAGCTGTATGTGCTGGTATGAGTGACATATTAAAAGCAAGAAAAATATTGAACACTCACAAGTTTTAATTTCAAAATCATGAACGTTTGTCATACGTCACAGAATAAGCCTGTGTAATTTTTTTGTAATTTTTTTCTCTCAAGATCTATAGTATTATATTTATTTGGTTCAAAATTGATAAAATATTAAAAATACTTAAGAAATGTTGCACACAAATAGAGTAAAACAAGTTCATGTGGCATATTTCCAGGAATATTTTTCTCACTTCCATTCATAAAGCATTGGTAGTATTTAAATTAGTTGCTGCCTTATTTGTGATGGCAGTATTAAAATAGATAAACTTCTCCAATTAATTTAATATGTAAGGCTGTTAGAAAATAGAACCTGGCAATTCTGATGCGAAAATTTGTCAGTTCAGGTTTTTTTAAAAACCATATGCATACTGTGTGTTTTTTGTTTGGGATGGTCAAGACAGACTTGGAGATGGGTGAAAACTTTTTTTGAGTATTTCTTCATATTAAGTCCTAGACCAGATGTGTGCCTGGGACAATTTTTAGGTTAAAAATACAAAATGTTTGGACCAATGTCAAGTTCAGTATAATATGTAGTGAAAATGACTTGCTTAAACCAAAAATTCTGTTTTGTCTTGTGCTAGTTACATATCTCCAAAGCCATGTCAAGAAAAAAAAAAGCTCCATTTTCAAATTACGGTAAAATAATAGAAGTTTTTTTTAACTTGGGTAGTTTGGAAGGTACCCTAAAAATATTGTCATTCTCGTTTCTATAGTCTTACCCGGAGAGTATTACCAAAAGTTGGCTTCAATGTTATTCTATTGGGAAATCAAGGTGCAATAATCTATTACTGTTACGGACAATGGTTATACTATCATAGTGCAATGCAATACCATCCACAAGTACACAACAAGGCAAGTTATGACTCCCCATATGGCTGGGTCTTGTAAGTTATTTTGCATACAATCACGGTGACTAACAATGTACTGCGTTGCAGTTGGTTCTATTACAATGGAATGATAATAGAAACATACGACAAACTGATAAAAAAAAACACAATTAGAAAGCGTTGGTTTTAGTTTTATTGCTTTGTGTAAAACTTGACCATACACGAACACTTGTAAATACGGGGCCATTGTTTTTGTCCGTGTTTACATCGTCATGCACGCATTCACACTCTGTAAGTCTGTGATAAAATCAGATCCTGGAGAAGGGAATATAGTTAAATCAACAAAACAAAATTAAAGATGATACAATTTTGACACAGTAAAAGCAGTTATTTTGTCGAAAAAAAATAATTATTATTCATAAGCAGTTGAACAAGAATTGTGTAAGACGCGATCCTCCATGGGAGAAAGTGGACGAGTGAACTGAAGTCATGATAATATTCCTCTCTAAAAAGTTGCAACAACCAATGCTACAAAAGTGAAAAACATAAATTGAAAACAAAATACGAATAAAATATCTTAAGGCGAAATGAAAGTTGAATGACAGACGATGTTAAAAAACAGCTGATAATGTCATGAGCTCGATGACCCTAACTACGTCACATCTCACATGACCAGGCCACTGCGCGTGCTCACCACGATTTCATCCCTGTAATGTGTGCTATCAATGGCGACATGTGCTTGGCTTCAATGTGTTGAACTCAACGCCGTGTCTTGCCTCTAATATCTCTGCCAGTGCAACACGAGTACGTCTTCCACATTACGGGCACACCGACTGTCTGCAGGAAAAGTGGCACACATTTATATCCAGCCGTTCCTGCGTGGTAGCCTCCAATTACACGTGGTAAAATCTGCATATTTTATTTGCTCTGATAGTGGCATATGTGGTGTCCTGATACAAACTGTTCATTATTTTGCCACCTCGTTGAAATGTAGACTTGTATGAAAACCTTAATTGTCTGAGATCTATATAGACTTGAAATCTTTGCTATTCTGTGTATCGTCTGTAGCCATAAGACGCAATTTCCCGAGAAATCAAAGTAGACGTAGGAAAGCAACGCTCGTCCGTGTGACCTTTCGTGTCTGTTAGACTCAAACACTCGTAAGCTCTCACCGTTTCTACCCATATGGAAAGACCTGGTGAACCTAAAATTGACATGATCAGCATCCTCGGCGCTTTAAAGGTCAACTAATGGGTGTCTGGTAGTATTGAAGTTGTAATTTACCGTTGAAACAATTCAATTCTGCGGCTGTAGTCTGGCTGACGTGTGGTTTAACGATTTGCAAGAAAAAAAGCAGGGAAGCAATAGAAGCCGAGCAACATGGCGACTGATGTGGTGCAAATGAAACAGACTGAATCTAACATACACAACAGTTTGAACGACCCTGAACTACCTGAATTAACGCGTGTGGAACATGTAGATAAAAGTGACATTTTAATTACGGAAGGAGAAATGATTTCTTCGGATGAACAATGTGGAAAAGAAAGCAATCAATCGGGAAGATCCAGAAAAAAATTCCAAGAGGCACCTGCTCCAAAGACCAACCCATGGACTAAAAGTACAAATTTCAATACTGTAACTAATGTAACTGAAGGTTTGTATTCACACATTTCTGTTTCTGGTAGCAGTTTAATTGTTAAAAGATTGTGGTCTTACAAATTTTATCAGAAACCCAAGCGACTGATTATCAACTGCTTGGTAATAATTCAATATATTTCATTCAGTGCCTATCAGTTGATTGGCTGTCATACATAGGGTGGTACACATGTTACTCCATCTAAAGGTTCACCCAGTTGTATGCTGAAAACAATATATTTTACATTTGATACATGAATATTTGGTGCTGATATTGGTACAAGACTAGCCTACAGTCATTACATCTGTTAATGCATTTTTGAATATTCATTATTTGGTAAAAAAATAATATAACCATTATATGGTCAAGTCTAAGTAAAAGTACATAGGTCTAACAAATATTATGGTTGAAGAAACTGTTTACAGATTGACACTTAAAATCAAGGTTTAATTTTAAGGTAATTTATTGCCATTCAACATCAAACACTTGCCAGTACCACAATGTTGTAAATGTCTAAAAATTGCTGTTTCAGTCATCTAAATTATGTAGCATGCAACATTCCTGAAATGCCAATGGCCAAGGTGGTGTTTCAAAACATTCACAAAAGAACATTAACAATACCAATGTAAGTTTGACTGACAAAACATACTACCTGCTGAAAATATTAAAAAAATAATAAAAAGAATGTTATTTAGGAAAAAAGCAATCAAACGTACACTGAAAGTGTCGCCTTTGTCATATGATAGCGTTTCACAGAAAGTGAAACTATTATACATAAATGCATTTGGTCACTGTAATCTACCTTTTTGAGGTGGCATTACTGGTAACTTGCACTAATGCAGAGAATGAGAAACACTTCCTAGCAAATAAATGACGTTGACCTTGCGATTCCTCCTGTAGAATTGAGTCCTATACTCTGGTGGCAATTTTGAATTAAAAACTTGGTCTGTATTCAGTCAACTATGGTTCACATTTCTAAAATTGTAAAGAGGCTACCCAAAGTTTTTTTTTTTTTCAGATTTAAACATTCATTTTTAAAAATCTATGCATGGGCAGGAAAATAGCTTTCTTTTTCCTTTACATTCTAAAAGTGTATTTTCTCTATATAATTTGAGAAATTAAATGGTCCTGTAAAGTTCACCTAAATCATTTCTAAATGCTTTTTTGGGGACTATTGGATTTATTTGGATCTCTGAGGTCTTGTGGAATTTTTTTAATTCGGCTTCACATTCGTGTTTACTTGCACAAAGCTTTGCACTAAATCAGCAAGTACACTATTCAGTGATCTGCTTCAAAACTAAGGTTGTCATAAATGGCACGAAAACTAGTACAGTATTCATTTCGCCAATCCTCGTGGTATTTTCATTGTTACATTGTTTTCATATCTTGATGAAGATTAAATTATTAGACTTAGACTTGTAGAAAAATAATTATAGACTTTTTGTTTATTAGTTCATTTCCATATTTAATAAGTGCTTTGACCATACGTTACCAAAACTTTGAAAAATATGTTTCATCCCTAATTGAGCAAATGGACTGCAATGGAGGAGGGGTACTGGAGGGATAGGGTTATAATTACAGTTTGGGGGGGGGGGGGGTAAGGAACTCTTGTCGTCTCATTAATATGCATAAATGGATTTAACCCTAATTGTACCAATTCTTAAAGAGCTCTATTAGTATACTTGAGTTTGTGAAAAATTGCACAAGGGTATACTCCTATTTGGCTATCAACTACATTGCAGTGGGGAGTTAGGTGGGTGTGTCCTGAGTAACCATAACCCGGTAATACATTACAATCAAACCATAACCTACTTCCCAAGCTGGCTTTCAAGTGGCTTTGCCTTATCATGTATATACTCGTAATTTTAAAAATAAGTATTTGAATAAAAGTATTTACCACCGTTACTAATACAAGACATGCTTAATTAACATATTTTGTGATTTTGAGAGCAAGCTGTATTAGCTTCAAGCCTGCCAGCTCAAATTTTCAGCTGCGCTCCAATCGTACTGTAGCATCCACTTGATTATAAACAGATTTTTTGTAGAACATGGCTGATTTATTAAGAATTTTATTTTATGTCTCTAACAACGATAACCAGGCCTCCATCAATAGCATCCAGTTTTGTGCTGTTTGTCGCTTTGTTTGGCGGTATTATGACTTGGCTGCATAAAATAAAATGTTAGCATATGCCAGCTGTAGCCATTTAAGCAGTACCTAGACAGACGATTTTTGAGTACTTGGACAGAATTAATTTTTCTACAAATTATAGTATGCAATTATGAATTCACTGGTTATTTCTATTTCAGACAGTATTTATGCATGAACCTTTTGCAATCGTTGCTGAAATTGTGGAATATGGGTCTTGTGCAACATGTACAACAGTGTTGACACAAAATTGCACATGCAGCACAAGAATACTACCTTTTAATGTTTATCTTCACTGTTAGTAAAGTTTAACTTGCCTGAATTATCTTCACATCCTTGGTTTTCTGTTCCTCAGTGATGGGTATAGAAAACACAAGTATGCAAAACATGTCATCCTTAAATTAAAATCTGTATACATCAATTGTATATTCCTAAAAATCTTTTGCTTTCTGTTGCTTACATCTTGAAAGTAATACAGGACAGAAATCCATTGGGTATTATTTTATTTCTAACCGACATGGATTTATCTTTCTGTTTTAAAATGCTCAAAACAAGTTCGATAATATGCCATATGTTAAAAAGACTTCCAATTTGATGCTTAGCTTTATTTATAAATAATCTCTATATAAAATTGCTGCTTGAAATAGTTTGAATACAATCACCTACTTACGTATATACCCATGCCAGCTCAGTTGAGAAGGGTCAATGTGGAGTTTAAACCCCTAACAATAAAAGGTCGGGTCATTTCAAGGACACTCCCCCATTCCATACATACATTTGTTTTGGTAGCCATTTTGCATTTGACTGTTGGCCTCTTTTTATTTGAACTTGAGCAGTAGGTTTCTGTTTTTTCTTCAGTAATGAAATCTGTGTTTAATACTGCTTATGGCCCATGAAACTGATTATTTGACTATTTTATGCCAATAGTGAATATTTAGACACAAGTTTGGTTATTACTAGGAAGGTTTATTAGGTAGCTATTAATATGAATAAATAGATTTCAGTTTTTTTTTATTTTGGAGTGTTGCTATTCAACATCAAATTATAATTCTCTGCTCTATTTATGGTACAAGATGTACATTATAATGAGAGAATTGTTTAATGGCTTAATTATGCTATACTCGTTAATTCATAATTTTGATACATTGCCAGCATAATAATTCATATACAGGTTTAAATTTATACTAGAAATATTGTAAAACTGCTTCAGAGACAAATCAGCAGAAAGGGCCGACATATTGTAGCAGTAAACTTTTCACTGGGGTTTTAAAGAAGTGTATCAAGTTCCAGTGGCTTTTGAGGAATTTTTTTTCCCCCACAAATACTCTGAACTAGTCAATTAGCAAGTATTTCAGGTTACAAAAACTGAACATTTTACTTAGGCAAACAGGATCTCTTTAGGGGTCACTGTCGAGGGCTGTTGAAGGATCCAAATTATTACTATTAATCCAATTACATTAGCTTGCAGGAACATTAATTGGCCATATCTGATCTTTTAGTCGTGTATGTACCTGCGTACATTACCGAAGTGCTACTGTGGTCAACATAGAAGTTGCATATTTAATGATTCACTTAGATTCTAATTCTTGGTTTATACACACTTGTCATGGCACAAATATGGTAGTACTGTTTTATTATAAATTGTCAATGTGCTATGTTAAATAAGAAGTTCAAAGGTTTGATCATTTCTGCTGCATACTTTTTAGAAATTACCTATTATGATGAATGGGCATTTTTCAGTGTCAGAGTAAACAAATTACTCTACATGGTCTTGCACATAAATTTACACACTCTTGTCAACACAAACTGCCATTAAGTTACTGTGGCATTATTTTTGCAAACTTGGACATTCTACTGGTTAATAACAAATTAGGCAAAGAACGCTTAAATTTATAATTTTGCTATCCATGAAAGATTCGGTTATATAGTATAGTACACTTTGTGTACAGGAACATTTTTGTGATTTCGGAATTTTATTGCATTCATGAAGACAAAATTTTCACTATTACAAAATATCCCAATTTCAGCTGACGGATTAATCCTCTCAGTTTAAATTATTCATATGTTACTGAAAACTTGTATTTGTCACTTTGAAATGGAAAATGGAACTGGATGCTACTACATTTAACTTAAAAAGGTAAATTGTCTGCGCATACCTGCCTGGCTAACTTCTTCGCGCCCGCACCTGCCTGGCTAACCTCTTGGTGTCCGCACCTGCCTGGCTAACCTCTTGGTGTCCGCACCTGCCTGGCTAACTTCTTGGTGCCCACACCTGCCTGGCTAACTTCTTGGTGTCCGCACCTGCCTGGCTAACCTCTTGGTGTCCGCACCTGCCTGGCTAACTTCTTGGTGCCCACACCTGCCTGGCTAACTTCTTGGTGCCCGCACCTGCCTGGCTAACCTCTTGGTGTCCGCACCTGCCTGGCTAACTTCTTGGTGCCCACACCTGCCTGGCTAACTTCTTGGTGTCCGCACCTGCCAGGCTAACCTCTTGGTGTCTGCACCTGCCTGGCTAACCTCTTGGTGTCTGCACCTGCCTGGCTAACCTCTTGGTGTCCGCACCTGCCTGGCTAACTTCTTGGTGCCCACACCTGCCTGGCTAACCTCTTGGTGTCTGTACCTGCCTGGCTGACTTCTTGGTACCCGCACCTGCCTGGCTAACTACTCGGTGCCCGTACCTGCCTGGCTAACCACTCAGTGCCCGTACCTGCCTGGCTAACCACTCAGTGTCCGTACCTACCTACCTACCTACCTGCCAGGCTAATTTTGACCAATGTTAACTAATTTAGGGAAAGGAAAGTCAATTTTGATTTACACTACTACCCATAGATTTGTTCAGATATGAAAACATTTGTATTTTTTTTTTATTATTCAAAAAA